GCCACCTGGAGTGAAAGACGACGCCTGGGGTCTTCTATACCCGGGCCCGGCCGCTTGGACTCCTGAGCGCGGAGCTGGGTAAGAATGGACAGGGGAACAAGCCGGAGAACGTTGTCGAAGGGAGAGGTGTTTGCGTGCGCGAAGCCGACGCCGCGCCTTCTCTTTCCCGTCCTGGTGCACAGAAGGTCCCACGGGGACTCTATCCGGCGGCAGGGCTCATGCAAAGGGGATCGACGAGAAGCCACGGCTCCAGCCGAGGGGACGGGCCAGGGCTCTGCCGCAGCCGAGAGCTCGAGCGCCGAGTGCCGCGCAGCGCCTTCATTAGCTTCTCCTCCACGCGGCGCTGCATGCCTCGGAAAATAAGTTAGCAAACGGGGAGCCGTTTATCTCTTTTATCTTGGGGCCTGATCCAATTAAATAAGTGCACATTTACATTTGCATCCATCAGGCGGGAGCGCTGAGAGCCCGGGGTTTGCTCGGAGCAAATAAAAGCAGATTTCACTGGGAAAAGTGGCGTCTGGGCCCGCCGGGCTCCTCCGGGCGCTGGAAACGAGCGCGGCCTGGCCGGCGGCCTTGAGGATCGCAGGGCTGGAGCCTGCGGCCGACAGGAGACTAGAGACCCCAATAGCCCTAAAGGGCAGGGCAGAGCAAAGGGTGCGGGGCAGAACAAGAGGTGCAGCCAGAGCTGCGGCACGGCCGTTAGTCCACAGCCTGGGCCACGCCTTGACCCCGGGATTCAAGTCGCCTGTAGCGCGCAAACGAAAAGGAGACCAGCTCTAGCCTGGTCACAAAGGGGGACCCGCGGGGTGGGCCTAGGGGTCGTCCCGCAACTTTAGCCAGTTTGCGGGGCGGGCAGGCGGCAAGGTGGTGGTCAGGCCCGATTTTCCTCCAGTTCGGTGGCCGTGCGTTGATGGGCTGCTAAGAGCCACGCCGAGGGGGCGCCTTCATTTCCCCCCTATACCTGCACCAAGGGGAGGCCAGTTGATACCACCCGTTAGCTCTTTTGGAGGGGACCGCCCAGTACGCACCTCCTGCGTCGCCACCTCGACCTCATTTAAAGGTCCTTTCGAAATGGGAGAGTTCGAAGCACTGGAGGGCTGTTTTGTTTTGTTTTGTTTTGTTTTGTTTTGTTTTTTTCTTTTCCAACCCACAGGCCAAAGGACAGAAACGGCCTTTGGGGCAAGGTTACACGGTAAACCCAAGATACGCCGAACCTCAAATTAAACAAAACTGCGCGGGGTCTAGAGCCCTGGCCAGCAGAAACCCAAGTGCAGGCACCTGAAGCAGCGAGGGAGCACCAGGGAGCACCACGCAGCACCGCCAAGCACGCGCGCAGCCGCGGCCCCCGCCCGCAGGCTATTTCAGCCGCGGGCGTAGTTCTCACTAGCCTGCCTCCTGGGTTTCCAGACTGTGCCCAAGCTGTGGAGGGAATTCGTAGGATTAAAACAGTTGTAGTCGCAGGCCCTGCTCCAAATCCCCAGTGCTACGTGGGTCCTGGATCCGAGGCCGCAGCGAGTAGAGTGGTGGAGCAGTTAAAGATTGACCCGCTTGGGATTCAGAACTAAGGTACAGCTCTAAGAAGGGGCACAGCCTGGCGTCGCCTAACTCCTCCTTTCTGCTAACCGCGCGGCGCCGGGGGACCAGTAGGCGGCGCCCTTCCTAAACTGAATCCGCGTCCGGCTCTCTCTTGAGAGCGCAATCACATTCCTTTCACTTCGGGCGCTTTGCAAAGCGCTATTCTGTGCCTCCCCGACTTGGCAGCTAGTTGCGGGGCGGGGGGGGGGAGGTGAGCTGGGAGGCACCGCCCGTTTTGAAACCGCACGCACGACGACCCCCTACCCACACACCTTCCATGCTGCAAGAGCTGCGCACATCACCGGTAATGAGAGGCCCCCGAGGGCTTTGCAAACTAGGAGTCCTCGATACAGGCCCCGCACCCAGGCTGAGGAACATTTCAGGCCCTGGCACTCCGAGCCGAAGAGCTAGGGATGGAAAGGTCCCCTTCCGCAGCCTCTCAGTGCCCTCATAGGCGCCCTCGGAGCTTGACTGGGCCGTTTGCTCCCCGCAGCTAAGTCCCAGGGACGGATTCCTTCCCGCGCAAGAGGGTAGAGGAAGGAACCCAGCCCACTCCCCTCTTGGCGCTGCCTCCAGGGGGACTGACTGCATAGACCCCACTCAGTGACCCCCGCGGCTTCTACTGCCCGGGATTCAGCGCCTCTAATTCCTAAGTGCCAACCTCGTCTCTCCTAGGGGGCTGGTGCCAGTGCAGCCGAGAGCAGGTGGCAAATGCCCGCGCAGTCCCAGAACGGAGGTGTCTTATGTGCTGCCTCGCTCCGCTTCCGCGTCCTAGTCCACGCCTGCGAGCGACCCCCGATCCTGGTACTCGCCGGAAGTTTTCTTCCAGCTCCTCCAAGGCGCATCGCCTTTGACACTGCCCAAGACGCGGCCAGCTGGAGGCTCGAGGAGACGTGGGACGTACAGACTAGCAACTACTTCTGGGATTAAACGCCGGAGACATTTTCTAAATGCTCGAACCTCGAACTGCCAGGCAGGGCGCCCCAAACTGGAAAGACTCCAGACACCAGAGAAACCACTAGCCACTGAAAACCCAGCTCTGCGAAGGAGAAAACCCTAAACTTAATTGAAGACGAAGTACGCAAAGAAAACTGTAGACCCTGCAGAGGCCAAGGGCAGGAGGGATGCAAGTGGAGGCAGCGACTAGGGCACAAGCCGTCCAGTCCCTGGCGGTTTCGCTCCCCAGCCGGGAGGCTCGTCGCGCAGCCCCCCACGGGGTTGAGAAGCGCCGCGGGCTCCCGAGTGCGCGGCTCCCGTTCCCAGGCAGCCCCGCGGGCGTTCGCCTCCCATCCCCCGAATCTCGGCAACCAGACTGGGGAGGCCCGCGTTGCGCTATTTACATATTCCCGGGAACACAGGAGGCCTGTAATTTTCTCTTTAAAATCTTTGGGTAGAGTTTAGGGCCAGGGCTTCCAAAACCCCGCAGAGTTGATGGCTCCTTAAACTCTCTCTTAAGAGTCGAGGACTGGCCTATTCTTCTGACTTTTTTAGAAGACAAGGTGACTCCTGGGGCTGTATATTCAACAGGGGGGGAAAAAAGCTGATTGTGAACCAGGCTGTGGGGGGGCGGGTGGGTTGGGGTGGGTGGAGGGGGCAGGGGAGCGAGGGGGGAGGGCGAGTCATCTCTGGAATTCAATTGTTTAAAAAATCATTTATAATTAAAGGGACAAAATAAAATACGATCGCCTCATGCATATTTAATCATTCACACTTTCCGCTTTGAAACCACTTCCCCTGTGTGAATTTTCTCACTAATTTAAACTCTAAAGTCGACTGCTGTTTGGGGGTGGGGGGCACATCTGGACAATGCTTTCAAACTCCTTTAAATTCGAATGAGCTACAGGAGCCTTGTTTCAGCTTTTAAAAAAAATAGAAAAAATCAAAACTCCAGTGAAAGTTTGGGGAGTGTTTATAAAAGCAAATAAGGTTAAAGTAATCTTGAGTAGAAATGCAAATAAGTGCATTTTGATTTAGCCTAATGAAACCGGCGTTATGTGCAAACACATTCTCTCTACACTCAGGCTTCAGTTTAATAGAGCAAATTAATTCCCCTCTCTGGAGTATGTTTTTTCAGTAAGCCCTCCCCTCCCCCGACCCCCGAAAATTTCCCACGAAGTAAAACACGTCCGCGGTTCCACCTCTTCTGCGCAAAATGGAGACGCGAGCACCGACAGTGTGGGCTGGTCTAGCACGCAGGGCCGTATCTCCTCATTTGGGATTGAGACGCCTTCTGACGTTTCATTTTGAGATGAAATATGTGGGATTAAAACGAGAATATAAAACCTCGCGAACACTTCTGTAGCTATTCGAACTCTTGAATCTGAGAGGCAAAAGTGCTAAAGCGACGACAAGCCCGATCGAGTGCGCAGAGGCCTCATTATCTAGGCAAATTGCCTCGCACTTTTGAAGGCGACTTGTCCAAAGGGGGTGCCCTCCGGGTCGGTGCGGGGCTCCCCTTCCTTCCCTCGAGCTCCGGTGGCGCTCCCTCCCCCACTTCCGCCCACGCGCTCCGGTCTCCGACTCTGCAAAGTGCAGACTTGAAATTCAGGACAAGTGTGACACCTACCTGTGAAAGGGGGGAACCGTCCCCTCGCCGGCCCCGCGGCCCGAGACCCGCAGCGGCACGGAGATCTGCGAGCCGCCTGCCATCCACACCATCGCGGATAGGACATTTACTAATTTAATCAAATCCAGCGAAGAGATCAATGCCCAATTTTGAAGGGGTAGAGAAGACAGTGACTTGGGTGGGTCCTCTCCTTGGCCCACCCGAACGCTTCCCGCCCGCATTCGCCCACAGCACCTTTGAAATAGTAATAAGGGCTAAATCCGGCATAAAATCGAACTCATTAGCAAAGTTCACCAGCTGATTGCTTTGCATAAAACACGACACTGATTGAAAGTAATTAGGTTAAGCGATGGAGCTCGGGCGGTGCGTGTCTCTAAGCTGACTTTGCCATCTTTTCTCCCTTCTGGGCATACACTTGAGTCTCTCTCCTCCTTCCTCCTGGGTCCCATCTCCCAAAAGCAGCCCCGCGTCAGTGACCCAAACCCGCATTGCAGGGCAGGGCCACGTTCCCCGGGGCTTGTAGCCTAATTAGGAACCCCTGGAACACCGAGGCTCCGTGGAACCTTCCATTCCCCAGTTGGAAAAAAAAAAGTTGCAGTTTGCACCTTTTGTCCAAGGCAATGGACAGTTTATTGAGGCTTCTAAAAAGTAATGAGTGGCTCTGATTATCTTAAAATCTCTTTTAATTAAATATTTTGCATTTTACAAAGGCGGCTGCAGTGTCTTTTACTTTTTAAATCTAAGAGTATAACCTGTTTCCTTTCTGTAATAATATTTTAGCTCATACCCAGAAAAATCAATAGGTGTAAAAAATTAAATTAAACTTGTATTTTTAAACTATGAAACAGTTTTGGGGGAAAACACAAATGTATATACTTATATTACAAAAAAAACATTAAATGCCTGTACAGGTGTCTTAATTTCATAATTTACTTCAAAGATATTGAATTATCAATTTAAATACAAAATGCTACATTAAATATACAGAATAAGATTTAATACAAATCCTTTTTTAATTTTTCTTTTCGGTTGGTTAAGACATTTTTGTGTGTGTGGAGAGGTTTACATTTTTATGTCATCCATCTCCATGAACTATAAACTTTTTAATAGGAGGGGTAGTTTTTTTTTTCTCTCTCTTGTTGATGGAAAAATAACTGCCAAGGCCATGGTTTTTAATAAATTACGAAAGTCCGGGACCGACGCAGCCCGCGTTAAATGTCGGACATACCTTTCTTCAGTTCATAGGGAGAGTCTTTGCACAGGTCTAGCTGAGACTGGCTCCGCAACATTTTCGGGTCTTTAGCCAAAGCGTCCGCTCGGTTCAACACCGTCTGGTTTAATCCATTGAAATGCGAGCCCGGACCGGTTGTGGGGCCTGGCCCGGGCCCCGGATGGCCATGAAGGTGTCCGAAGGAGCCATAGTTCGTGTAGCCAGGATAGAAGGGCGCCGTGTAGTAGAGAGGCCGGGACAGTACCGTCCCGCCTGGAAAGGGACACTGCGCTGAGGGGGAGCGCGATGGCGCCGGGGCCGGCGACGCGCGGCTGCCTCCAAGGGCTTGCCCGGCTACTGGCCCGGGGCACGGTGGGCACGGAGAGCCCTCGCTCCCGCCGCCCCCGTCCTTGACTTTGTCCGAGGATGTGGCGATCTCTGCCAGAGACCACAGTTTGGGCTTGGCGAGCACCGCCTGCGGCGGCGGCGGTGGCGGCGAGTGTATGACCGAGGGCCCGCCGGGGCCGGGGGGCAGCTCTCCCGCGGCTGGGTGAGGGCCCGCAGCCGGCGCGCCCGAGGGGTAGTGAGGACCTTGGTCCTCGGCCAGCCGCGCCGCCGCTGGCCCGGCCGGGGAGGGCCCGCTGGCGCGGGGGGGCCCAGGCAGCGCGTCGAGGCGGCCCTCGGATGGCGGCTCCTTAAAATCCGAGTCGCTGAGGCTCCCCTCGGTCTCCTTGCCGGCAGGAGTGGACGGCCCCTGCAGCCTTTCGCAGCCCGAAGCCGCTTTCGGCTCCGCTCCTCCTGCAGGCGAAACCCAGGCCGTCAGAGGTGCAGAGGGCGAGTGGCGGGGGCCATGTCGCCGCCCGCAAAGGCAAGGACCCCAGACCCACCCATAGGCCCTGTGCGCCCCCTCTCTAGAACCCCCTTCGCCATCTTACTTCTTCTCAACACACCCTTTCCCGCGTCCACCAACCTGCTTCGGGGCCCTCGGGGTCGCCCTTGTCCTCAGGCTTCTGAGGCTCATCCTCGTCGTTCTTCTCCAGATCAATGTTCTCTTCCTCCTCCTCGTCCTCGCTTCGGTTCCTCGGAGTCCATGTCATCTTGTTCTCCTTCTTGAGGCGCCGGCGCGCGTTGGCGAACCAGGTGGACACCTGGGTGAGGGTCATCTTGGTGATGATGGCCAGCATGATCTTCTCGCCCTTGGTGGGGTAGGGGTTCTTGCGGTGCTCGTTGAGCCAGGCCTTGAGGGTAGCGGTGGCGTCTCGAGTGGCGTTCTTTCGGTACGCCGGGTCCCCGTAAGGGTATGAGCCCAGGGGCGCCGCGTAAGGGTGGTACCCCAAGGATCCTGCCATGCCCGGTGTATGGTCATAGGGAGAGCCCTGCAGGGAACAGGCAGAAAGAAGGTGAGAGTGGTCCGTGGTCCCCACTGCCACCTGGGCGACCGAAGCACGCTGTCCCTGGGACCCGCGGTCTGAGGACGACGAGGCCCGAACTCCGCTGGGGTAGGGCTCACGGGCTCAGACCCAAGGGCAACCCCTCCCCCTCCTTGGAACGCAGCGGGAGCGCCAACTCCTGAGTCCGGTTCTTCCGGGGCCTTTGAAGCCGTCCTGGTCTCGGCAGGACCCGGTAGGCCCCCGTCTCCAGGGCCATGTTCCTCCCCTGTGCGCAGATCCAACCACCGCGGCCAGGCCCTCCACCCAGAAAGAGGCCCGGGCAGCGCTGGCGACTCTGCTCAAAGCCCGGGTGGCTGCGCGCTAGGCGCAAGAGAGGAGAGCAAGAGAAGCACAGGCATTTCCCCCTTCCAAAGAAAGACAAACGAAAGGCCAAGCCTCGTCCCGGCACCCCCACCCCTCCAAAAATGTTACCCCAAACTGAAGCCAAGGCGCTTTTCCAGAAAGTGCACCCGGCCGAAAAATCCCGGATGCACCGCAGCTCGGCCGACTTTTCAGAAATTTAATACCTCCAAATCGGATTGCGAAGATAGGATTACGGATTTGCAACATTTTGGAGGACTAATTAAAGGCGAGGCCAAACACATTTACATACACTAAGCATGCTTCTGCTAGGATTTCGGGTCTATTTCTTTTGAGCTAGTTTTCCAAAATTGCAAAACTTAAAAAAAAAACAAAAGATAAAAATTGTAGGGCGGCCTGGAGCTCACATTTGAACCAAATGCTGCTCTTTAATTGCAGCGACCTCTCCTCTCTAAACACTTTCCGCCAGCTCAGCGATTCGAGCAAGACGCTGTTCTCCTTTCCGGGCAACTCCGGAGCCCGAGGCCCGGCCGAAGCAGAGCGAGACAATCGCCCAAGTTTGTAGGGGCCGTGAAGCTTGGCGGGGGCGGTCCGCGGTGGCGCTGAGGCCCGAGTCCCCGCAGCCCCCACCCACCCCGCGCGGGCCCAGCTGCCCTCGCCCGCCGCGGCTCCCGCTCACTCACCACATACGAAGAGAAGGCGGCTGCCGCGGCCGCGGCTGGGTCGGCGCCGTACTGGAGGTGCGAGTTGTAGCCCGGCGAGGGCGCCGTGAAGGCGGTGGAGCCGGCGTAGGGCGAGAACGCGGAGCCCGACGACGAGCGGCCGAGCTCATCCGTGCGGGGCCCCGAGATGACGCTGGTGCTGTACGCGGGGCACGAGTAAAGGGCTAGCGAGGCGGACGGCTGGTACAAGTAGCCCTGCGGGTAGGACATGGCCACACACGGGCATGGGGCGCTCCGCGCCGCTGCCGCCAACGAGCCGGGCGGCGCCCTGCGAGGGCGAGCGGGCCGGCACCTGGCCTCCGGCTGCCCCGGGCCGCCGCTCCTCGGGCCCCGGCTCCCGGGCTCCGGCTCGCAGCACCTCCTCGCTGGCTTCCCGCGCGCCTCCGGCTGCGACCGCCGAGCCCGCTCCTCTGCGCGCCTTGCTTGCCCCGGCTGGATTCTCCCCCCCTCCCTCACTGCTTTCTCTTTTCCCCCCTCGCTCTTTGCACTGGGGGGCTCTGCTTTTGGCTTCGCAAAGGTCCTGCCAAGATGCTAAGTTGGAAATTGAGGATTCTGACGCCTTGTGCGCGCCTGAAGCTCCTCCTTCCCGGGGTGTATTCGGTGGTTGGACTGGCAGGAGCCTCTGGGCGGCCGCAGCCAACCCGGCCGCCAGGCGCGCCTCGCCCTCTCCCTCTTCCTCCCCGGCTCTCTCTCCCGCTTGCTGGCGCTCCCCTCGCCCCTCCCTCGCGCCCGCCTCTCCTCCGAAGCCCTCGCCTCCACCCCCCTTTTCTTCTCCCCCCTCCTTTGCCTGGTCTCTCCCTCTCTCTCTCTCTGACTCTCGAGCGCCGGCCCCAGGATGACAATCACATCCCAGGCGCACCGCTCTCTTCCAACTTTCCTCCTTGGCTAAGTCCGGGTGGAGCGGCCGTTCCGACGCTCCGCGGGCTCTGGTGGCAAGTCTGGCTGCCCCAAAGCACAAAGGGGACGAGGAGGAGGACTGCGCGTAGGCGAATGCTCTGCTCTCACCTCGCCACAGTAAACCGCCGAGTTAGCGGATTTCTTGTTGGCCAGGAGGCTGGGCTCCGAGGCGGATCGCCATCCCGCCGCCCCTGGTTTCTCCCCCACAGCAGGGGCCCTGAGAGCGAGTTGAAGATCCGGAATGAAGGTCCCTGGGAGAGCCCGATGAATGCCCTAGTCCAAGGCGCAGGGAGTCCGGATGGCCGTCTTTCTTCGCCAGCAGCAGCAGCAGCAGCAGTAGCAGCAGGTGGGCGAGGGACAGGCCTGGGACATCTGCAAGTATCGGATCCGGCCTGTCTTCCACCAACGGCCCTCCAGACTGCAAGGGAGAAGGCACTGGGGGCCTGGGACGTCTGATGGTGGCGTTTCTCTACAGGGGAGGCAGCGAGCAAGAGCTGCTGGACGGAGAAGCAGCTACGCCGGAATAGGTCTCCGGACCCCACTCCTCCTCCCCACCCGGCCCAAACCTCGCTGCTTCGTTCTCTGCGTTTTCCATCCGCAGCTCGCCCAGCCAAGGCCGGTGGTGGTGGTGGATGCGCGTCCCCTTCCCCCTCGCACGCGCTCTCACACCCACCCATGCTGCACTGTAAACACTCCGCACAGCAGTGCCCAACCCGGCCGCTGTTTGTTCAGCGAGGCGCTGGCAAGGCAAACACACCACTGAGTCAGAGGCAGAGCCCTTGCCCACGACGGCCACACAGTGAAAGTACAAAACAGACCATCTGTCGGTCTCTCCGCCCCGCGCTGCCACAAGCCACAGACGCTTTCGATCTCGGGGACAGACAGGGGCGCTGGTGAACCAGGACAGGGGCGGGCACATGGTTGGGCACTCCGCAGGCGCTCGATATATTAGGGAATTTGTGGCCTTTTATAATGGGGTCACACGCAAGCCGAAGCACGCCTATACACAAAGTGCCCCGCAATGATTTTGATGGGCAGGACACACTTATTTCTTGACCTCCAGCCCCGGCACTCAAACCCACTCGGCACACACGCACACTCTCCGAGGGGCGACTTAGCGCACGCGCGCTGGCTCCTCCCCTCCGTCAGCTTCCTCAGGCTCCGCCCCTCGAGCGCTATTCTCCGGGACCTTTTCGATCCCCGCGGCCCTTTCTCCCTGCCTTCACCTCTAATTGGACGGTGGCCTCCACTGACACCATCCCCGAAGACGTGAGCCCGCCTCCCTCCGAGTCGCAGCGCCGAGGGGGCGGGGCGGGGCGGGGCGTCAGCGCCCTATTGTCATGGAGACGGGAAGCCGTTCGCGTCGGTGGCGGGCTCAGCCCGGCTGAGGTGGCTGCCAGCCAGCCAAGACTGAGGCTAGGCCGAGCGGCCCGGACAGCCTGACGAGGAGGGAGCGTGGAACCGGCCAGCGGCGGCCTCTCGGGCAGCCAAGGGGCAGCGTCCTTCCGGGAGCAGCTAGGCCCAGGTGGTCGCAGGGAGGGCCTCGGAGCGTCCCCGCCCTGCTCTCTTCGCCCCCGCCTCTCGCGGCCCCTCCGCCCCTGAGCGACCGCCCCCGGCTCCGCCCGCCGCCGTCTCAGCCCCTCGCGGTAACGGTCGGTAGCGGCCCGCGCGCGCCGCCCGCCGGGGGCTCGCGTCGGCCACGAGGGAGCGTCCTCGGCCCGCGCTCCCGCGACGCGAAGGAGAGGTGAGCCTGCGCCCCCATCCCGCCTGTTCCCCCACCCCGTCGCGCCCGGGCTTTCCGCCCCTGGAGCCGCATCCGCGTCCCCTCTTGCGCCGGCTAGACGCGGCGGAGCGCCGCCGAGCACCCCGCGGGCCGGGGCCGCGTGAGTTGGGGGCGGGCCTCCCCTGGTGTCACAGACCCCGGGCGGGCGCGCGTGGGTCCCCTCCCTCCACGCGCGGCGGCTGCGCCCTCTCGGCTCTCGTCCGGGATGCCGACTTCCGAAACGGAGCCACGGAGGTTTGTGCCGCCGAGAATCTGAGTCTGTCACACAGACGTCCTCATTACATCCTGCTGCTACTTCGGGCCGCTAGGCTCGCCCCCTCCCCCACCCCCTCCCGCTCTTCTTTTACTGTCTCCTTCAGGGTGTCAGGGCCTGGAGAGAATCCCGAAAGATATGGAAGCATTTAGAATTTATGGTTCTGCTGCTGTGGTTGTCACCTCCGCTCTACGTCAAATTTAAGACTCATTTCTTAAGGATGTCTCTATTTTCTGCTTTATTGGCACACGGATGGCTCCGCGGCTCGGCTGGCCGCGGCCGCGCGGCGCCGGCCGTGGACCGGGGCTCGTGCACGGAAGGGAAGAGCGGGTCATTAGCAGGCGGAAGGGATTCGGGTAGCATCTGGCGGGTGTCTCCGTCTTCGGGCGAAAGCTTGCACGTTGTTTGCCGGTAAACACGAGGTTTTCACTTTTTATCTTGGTAGGGGTGACAGTACGTTACCCTCCCCCGTTCCCGGTTTCCCCCATTTATTCATCAGCTTTTCCGTGGTGGGACCCTGCGTACTTGTTAGTAGTAGTTTCCTTGGGCTGTTGTCACGGAAGCTTCCTCCCCCAGCAGAGGTGGGAGCTACTTCCCCCTTATTTCATGTTACCAGGATGACTTATTTGGAGGGTGGTGGTAGGGGAGCTGACTATTGCATTTTATTTTTCTGAACATTTTAAACTTAATTAGGCATCGCTAGGAATGTCCTGATCGTTTTTCACGCCGGACTTTAAACGTCCTCATTTTGCAGCTCCCTGAGGATTTACTGGTTCTTCATGTCTGCACCGATCCAGTTAGGCATACGAAACTCTTCAGATTTAAAGCTGTTAAAAATAAGATCCATAATTGTGTGGCTCAGACATGGCCGTAGAGCTTGCTCTTCGAGTTTTGGCTGTACAGTTGTCATTGTTTAAGTCAGGCGCAAAAAGAGGTTATTCCTGTTTATTTAGCGTAATAACTGTTTACAGTGAAAACTTTGAAGACTCGTGAAAGTAGGTCTGCTGTCTTTTGAAGATCTCATCATTCTTGAGGGAGACACAACAGCGGCGCTGGCAGAGGCAACAGATTGCTTCCGTCGTATCACTTCGCTGTTTCGGAGTGTACTTAAGGGATTATGATTGATAAGGCTGTCCTTCCAGCGAATGTGGACACAGGTGTGCCTCGTTATCTTAATTACGATCCTGAGAAAGTGTTGTCTATAAAATGGTGACACAAGAAGGGCCACATATTTTTGTATAGTTTTGCTTTTGGAGAATGTAATTGCACTCGAAAACTGTCTTGGAGCGTTCAGATTTTGTGAGCACTTTGGCAACAGAAGTTTTAGCGAGAAATGGGAGTTTAATGTGAAGTGTTCTGGCATGTGCTAATGCTACTTGTGGCTTTTGGGAGTGCCTTTATCGGCCTTCTTTGTGCTCTATCTCGGTGGAATAATGGGTACTAATTTTGAAATAAAAGCTTAGAGCAGTGTATTAGGCAAATGTTTATTAGTGTTTGGAATAAATCTGTAGAGGAAAGTGTGCTTAATGCGTAGAGACAGGAATAAAAAAGTAAATATATCAGACATTTATGCCGCTTCATTTTTTGGGAAAACATTGTTTTAATGATCTAAAGCCATTTCTTTTTTTCATATCATCAGGTACTTAGGTACATTGCTTATGGAATGCCTTGTTTTTATTTCCAGAGAGAGAAAACAAACGATCTTGTTTTCTCCAAAATATTATCCTGTAGATTTGAATTGATGAGCAAGTAAAGATAGTACATTTAGCCTCTTAATAGTTTAAGGATCTGAAACATAAACTGAGGGTGACCACTAAATTAATGTTACTGTCCTTGACTTGAAATCTCTGAATGCAAAAACAATAGCAAGACGGATGCTGTTGATCATATTACCCTTGGCTTACCCAGAACCTAATACCCTTTAACATAAGTATTGCATTAAGACTTCCCCCCTCTCTTTGTAGATCATGATTTCCTGGAAGCTGGCTGTCTATCAGTGTGTATGTAAGATGTGTGAGTGTTTTTGTTTAATGTGAAAACTCATTGGAGAAAGAGGAAATGAAAGTGGAGGAGGCCATGGGCATACATGATCGGAGAAGCCAGGTGTAGAGTCACAGCTCATTCGTGACTCCAAGGGTAATTAGCTGGCTAGAATTACATGGTAAACTGAAATCAAAGAAAGACTTATTTAGATTTGTTTGCTGAAATTAAAACAAGAGTATTAATTTTAAGGATAATTGCTTTACTTGTCCCCCAACTCCCCCATCGGAATTTTTTTCTGGCAGCTAAGACCAGCCTCCCCATGCTGTTTCCATGTATTATTTTAAAACGGGATATGCCGTGTTAAAAGGAATGAGAAAGGAGCACATGAGCTAATTACCTATCCTTCATTTTTATTACTAACAAATAGTTATTAATTTATTTTTACATTATAGAAATCTTAGGAAAGATTTAAATGTTCTTTAGTTGATAACATGCAAGTAAATGAATTGTGTAATCCTGAGTGAATTGTAGATTATGAAAATAGTATTATATTTTGGAATAATGTTTTAACTCTGAGATAGCCCAGCCTGTTTTGTGTGGTAATATCTCAATGTCTTTGTATATTTCCCTTCAGTTTCTACATTTTGTTGGCTCCTGAATTTTTAACATTTTTGGGTACAATTATTAGCTGTTTTATAGAGGGTAATTGTTCTTAATAGAATAGCAGTTGATGCAATGCTAAGAAGATGTAAAATCTTGGAATTTTTTTTCTTATTCAGTAATGACCCTGGTTTGCTTTTATAGCACTATTCCAAAGTGTGATTCTTATGACTTATTTCTGCATAAATCTGCAGTATTTTTATAGCCAGAGTATACCTAACCACCAATTTAGCTTGACAAATTAACTTAGATGCTTCAAAATTGAAAACCAGTATATTCTAATGGAGTTTGAATTTAAGTCTTTATTAGTAAGGATGCACTTAACATTTGTTCAGGAGAAGGGAATATAATTTTCTCTTGCAGTTGTCATTTACCTAATTCATTTTTCCAGCCTTTTCTCGAGCTAATGATATTCCACACCTTGATAGGGCCTTTATTTGTTTATTTGCCATAATACGAAGTGATTCTTTGGAGAAAATTAGATTCGATATTCATATCTAATATCCCAAAAGTATTTAACTAGTCTTCTGTGTTTCCCTAAACAGAACCATCTCTGTTTTCTGTGCAGGTGATAAGTATGATGCTTCCATAATACATTTGGATGTTTTCAGCTAAGTTGACTCTCGAATTATGGGGTTCCACCAAATGCTGGCTGAACCTTGTCCTTGCACATCCCGGGACTGATCCGCAAGTGAGTGTCTACACAGTGTGCTTGTGTGTGGAGTAAACCCCAGATAGCATCAGTGTTGGATTTACCAAAGTACTTCTATTGCTATTAGAGACTAAGTACAGAATATCACTTGAGGCCTTTGATTATATAATTGTACTAATGCATTAAACAAAGGTTCAGTGAGTAGCAAAATTTTTGATTCATGGAAATACTCTGAATAATTTATTTTTAATATCATTAGATAGTGACATATATAAAAGTGCTTTTCATAAAAAGACTAAGGTTATATTTTATAAAAAATAGAATTATACCAAATTACAGTTTTTGATTATTTTCATTACCCAGTTCTTTTCAGAATTAATTTAATGGGTGTATCAGCTCCTGTCGTGAGTACCAAACTCTTTAAAAAACAAAGCATACACAGTTGTGTGTAAAACTTACCATTTTTCATCAAAATAGGGGCTGCTGAATGCAAGCAGATTAGAAAAGCTATGAGAAGAAATTATTTTGCAAAATATTTGTGTCATGTAGTGAGGAGAGCAGAGAACTGGATTTGGTGATAGAGAACATTTTGTTAAGTAAAAAGAGGTGGTTGTGTGACCAAAAAAAAGCTGATTTTACAGAAGGCTTCTATAGTTAGTAGAGCCTGCAATAGAACAAATGCTTCTCTGTGAATACTTTCAAAGGCATGAAAGTGATTTTTTACGTAGTACAAAGTAATATATAATTGTATTTAAAAAACACACTTGTGTTCCCCTGTCAGTGCTTAGGTCTGATGGAGGTGGGGTTTCATATATGACCAAGAGTTGATGCATTACAACAAGTTAGAAAATGCACAACACAAATATATAAAGAAAATGTTAAGCAGTGAGAATTCTTGATTTCTCTTTGTTTGCCTTTAAGGTTAGTTTTTTGTTTTGTTTTGTTTTCTGTATTGTTTTAGCCAAGTGTGAAATTGTAGAATTTAAAAGATAAAAGGATTGGGTTTTTTTTCCTCCTAAGGATAAATATAGGAAAAATCTAAACGTGTATGTGAATTGGCTGAGTTTTATATTTGCCATCAGCCAAAATGTATTATAAAGTTTAATACATCACGTATATTAATGATATTCAAACATATTAAAACTAAGACTCCTTTTATATAAAAGGGTGTGTGTGTGTGGTAGGCGGGAGGTTCCCCACTCTTTTGACAATATGAAGAAAACATGTGCTTTCAGCAGTAATAAGTTATGGTTGATTAATTGAGAAGGTTGTACTAAATGTTCTCTAGTGGAAACAGCTAGAGTATACTCTTTGAGAAATGTAGAATTCAGGAATAAAATCAATTGAAGTATTGGTAATTAAATTGTAATTCCATGAAGGATGGAAGTGGTAGGAAAGATGAAGCTAACTATTGCTGTTTTTCTTTTTAAGACTCTACAGTTCATAATGGAGCTACTGTACTGGCTCTTGGAAGGAGGAGATTCTGAAGATAGGGAGGTAATACTATCTTTTTCTTTTTTTCCAAGAATACTTTCCTCTATAATCCTAAGCCCTTATTACATATAAGAACTTTATCTAGTAGACAGCAATTTCTTTACATTTGAGATATGAAAATGACCTGATTTTTTTCTGTGCTGAGTTTTGAGCCGCTTCTCCCAGGGCCGTGGGTTGTGTTGGGAGAGCCGAGAAGTCTCATCGAGGCCTACTCAGCACCCTTAAAATAGCGTCTTTCTGAGAGTCCGAACTGTGGTGGCGGCCTGCACAGCTCTGGTAGCTGCCCTTTTAGTTTGTCATTGATGTGGGCGCTTACAGCAGGGTGCTTGTGTGCCTCCATTTCCCTCCCCGCCTTTGTCGCCTTATCTGCGGGAAGGCTCTCTCTGCGCTGGTTGCCTGCTGCCGCCACCACACTCTGAGTGGGAGACTGGGTGCTTGACAGCTGGTTCCAGAGCTGTGCCAAGGAGTCAGCCGCCCTGCCTGGGCTGCTCTAGTGCCCTGCGGGCGAGGAGCGCACGCCCATGGGTTCTTGCCCTAGTTCGCAGCTCTAAGCCCCTTTCCATATTTTGCGTAATCCCAGGCTACGGGTAACACTTTCCTTTTCCTCTCACTAGGTTGGCCTGCTGCTTACTTTGCAGCTGTTGCAGGGATTCACAGGGAATGCAGAACTCTGTATTATTCTGGATGATATCTTTGATAATTTATTCGCATGCTCTTTCATTTTCAAGAACCTAATGCTGGTGTTAAAGAATGAGTCTGAGATTCCTGAAGAACAAATACCGTGTTCAATTTGTATCCATAGGGAAAGCTCCTGTCTTCTCATACTATGTTACCATACTGAATATACAGGTTAATTTGAAAACATAAAACCCTTTTATAAAGGACTAGGTACTACATCTAAAAATGTTCATGAAGGGTTAAATTGAGTGATGGTGTTTATATATTTTTTCACTTTTAAGAAAAATGATATACTTTTCTGGTCATCAAAAATACCTACTCCCTGTCTTATGTCTATGGAAAGATATTAGTAGAACAATAAAGGGCGTCGTGATGTCTAATTACATAATGAGGAAATTGGTAAGCAATGTAACTAAAATCAATTTCTTCCATTAAAGGAGCTAGTATACATTTAAAAACAAAAACCTTCAGGAAATCCTCTTTGATCTTTGAATGAAATGATGTTTTTGGTTAACACAACAGGAAAGGGGAAATACACCAATCTCAGATTCTTTTATTCATGCCTAGGTAGAGGTTGTAAGAGCTGAGAGTGCCATTAAAATGTAGCCTAAAAAAAATGGTTATATCACAGTGATTACTTAGAAAGCAGTTTACATTTGCAAAGCAATTCAGTATTATGACCTTGACCAACTTTTACACTTCATGTACTTGGGTTATTACTCCCGTTTGTAAAATACCAGTGTATGGAATAGCTTTATATAGAATGCAAGGGTCTTTTTGAATTGGCTAGTAGGTCTTGCTGGTCACCTTAAAATATGCTGCAATATTACAAAGTTGAAATGTAATATTTATTAATAGAAGGAAAATATAAAATTTAATAACTGGGCAACTGAAACCTTTAAACCTATTTTAAAAGTATAATCTTGACATCTATGACACTGTTTTTGTCTTTGTTATGTAGATAGAATTATGGCTATTCTACATGTCAAATGTTTTATTTATTAATTCCAAATTTTATTCTCCATATTGGACTTTTAAAATGAAAGACGTACGTGCTTTAGAGGGTAAGATTTTGAGTCATGGGCTAATTTATTAAGCACTAGTACATAGAAAAGCAGCCTTGATTAATTCAGAACTCGGGAAGCGGGCAGGTAAAACTGTTTACAGCTGAAATTTCCTAATGCAGCAACCATTTAAATTAAATGTTTGTTGCCATAATAGTGATGGCATTTTCTCCTCCCCCTCCTTGTGGTTTTGTCCAACTAGATGTTACAGTGGCAGTTGCACTGACTGTTAAGTGTTTAAATGATGACACCATTATGTGAAGCGATTTTGAAATGAGAGATTCCAGCCAAGAGTTACATCTGCTCCCGTCTCCTTCACATCACACTCTCTGGCAGTACAGATTATGATTGATTTGTTTGTGACAGATTGCAGGAAACAGCCATTGATTTTTCAATATTTTACCTTAAAATTATTTACAGTTGTAACCATGGGGAGGTATTTCCATGGGCTGTCAGCCCCTGAAAGACTAGGATAATATTCCCTGCTCTCTGACAAGACAAATTACCTGTAATGAGTGCAGTAGCTGAAGGGTATACTTTTATTTTAAAATATGTCAATAACCCCAGTGACTAAACGAATATTGATTTAGCATAATGAAGCCTGAGTAATGTGAAAATGAGCTTTTTCAAGGAGCATGGTAAAGACTTTCTTTTTAGCTGGTTGCAAGAACCTTTTCATTCTTTTCCACTAGCTGGTGGAGATAACGAGTGTTATATGCCGACCATCAGGAGTGATAGTGTCGTTTGTGAGAACCAGGGTCCCAATATTTCGCCCTTGCTTTTAGTGATTCTTTTTCAAATCTTATTTGGACCGGTACTTTTAAGTCATAGGATAGCTACTGATTTGCTCGATCTGATCTGTAACCCACTTAATATTTTTACAATTTCAACACATTTTGCCTAAGACCTTCAGTGATGAATATTAAAATATAACTATATGTACAGTCATTGGTAGATGACATCATAATTACCTTAAGACATTTCAGATGGGTTATTGTGGTATTTAATGTGCCGTATTTTATGGTAGAATAATTCCCCGTCCCTGGACATCAGATTGCTTTCAGTGGGAATGAAGATTAATTTACTTAAGTCCTGATATTGTATGTGTCAGTATGTGTTTTCATTTTTGTCAGACTTCTTCTCCCCCTTTTAAAAATGTAATTCTCTCCTTTTTATGGATTAAGATCTCAATACATAAGGCTGTTCAAACAGGAATGATAGCAAAAAAGGATATAGCTTTATTTTATAGTCCATCAAGAAGCCTCAAGATTTTATGCCTGAATAAGTATCTCCGTATCTAACTTGATAAGAAGAAATAGGGTAAACAATACCAGTAATATATAGCAGAAAAGTAAGTATTTGAACAAGATGTCAAACTGATATTTCATGAGAACCTGGCATGTTTTATGATAACTAATAATAATAAAATCTTATTAAAAAGCACTAGGTAAAATCCCTTTAGAAATTAAATAGTAGTTATAATTGCAAGAAAATTCAGACGGCTCTTTATGAGCGCTCGTTCTCGTGTAGCTTTGGCATTGGAAGGGTTGCAATAAAGTGAAAAATATAAACACATCCTTCAGTGGAAAATGAGATGGCCTCTAGAACAAAAATTTGCCATTTTATTTTTTCCCAAGTATTTGCCTAACGCTGGGACATAGAGGGTTGCTGTCACTTGGCTTAGTTGTGTCCTGCAGTAAACCAGATGGTTTATAAAATCCTGGTTTCATGGTTTTCAGTGCTGTAAGATTTCATTTCTGCAGCACCCAGCCCCCAAATTCTTTCCCGTCTTCTATAAAAGAACCTTCGAAAATAGAAATATGAGGGATGTACCACCATCGTATATAAAACTGACAGTCTAAATTCTTAAACCATTAATTTGCTTTATAATTTTTTAAGTCGATGTAGTACCCATAGAATTTATCTATGAATAAGGCATATATATATGCCTTCCGGGAAAAAAATGGAGATAGAGTTTTTAATAGTTTTTTAAAATAAAGCATAGCTTCTTCAGACAAACCTATGCTAAGGAAAACATCTATATTGTTGTACTTAGTTTATTTTGGAGTAAAATAATAAATATATTGCAGTCAGTACCTCTTGACCCCAGCATTTAGTTTAAACCTATGTGTTCATTTCATAGTACATGTATAGGAGTATTTATGTGAATTAAATTTAATGAATACATAGATACAGTGAAGCTTTTTTCTGGACAAATTATTCTTTTTTGGATACTATACCATTCTCCATTTCTTTTTTCTTCCTGAAAAAAAAAAATCTGCCCTTGTTTTCCTTTAGGGAAAAACTATGTAAATGTTTTTAAATCATGCAAGTCATTGCCTTGGGTTGGTTAAGACATTGATATTTTGAAAAGGAGAAAATGTCCATTTGAAAAATATTTATTGTATTTATTATCTATTAAGATAAACAGTTTACTCTGCAGTGGTACATACCAATCTACTTAATTATTATTATTTTTTTTTTGCAGAATTCATTTTACTGTGTTTAGTCGGACTTCCTGTGATAACTTAATATAGGAACAAATTAGCATCTAATTCTATTTTCCATGTGACCTCAACCAGTTGAAGAATAATACCACCACTGTGGAGGGGCGGCTATTTGATAGTTTATGTAGACTCTAGCATCAAGTGTTTGCAGATGCTCAGTGCATCCTGGCTAATGTGTTATCGAAGATGTTTTAAAGTAAGCAGTTAGAAGAAATACCTCTGGTACTAAGTTATTAAAATGCCTCCTAAAGGTAGCATTTTTAATTAGTGTACATAATCGATCAGTGATTTGTCTTCTCCCAAGCATAAAGCACCATGGCAAAGTTAAGTGCGGTTGGTAAAGTGTAGGATATTAGGGACTGATGGTGACAATGATCATGACAACTAAACGGATTTTTTTTCTTTTAGATTCAGCTCTCGGTCTGAAATTTCCTGTGGTCTGTTCAATCTAGATGCAAAGGACATGGAAAAATCAAGTGCTCAAGTGGTTTAAATATGTTTTGGATGTTCCTATTTATAGACTGAAGTATTTTTCCAATTAAAATTCTCAGTTGTCATTCAGAAGAAGGTTATGCATTTCTCGATCATCAATTTTAAATGCTTAGTATTGTGGAGTATTACCAAACATTTTCTGTTTTAATCAAAATATGGAAAAAAATGAATCTTATGTATTGATTTTTTTCCCCTAAAATGTCTTTGTTGGGTTGGATGAATGTTTATACCTGAAAGAGAGGTCTCCAGAAAAATCCCCTTCTTCTGGCAATTCAGTATCATTTGAGTAGATTTAACGTCACTTTCTAATGTGACCATATTATAGTCTGGGAAGAGAAAAGACTTGAAATGTATACACACGCACGCACACACACACATTTTAACTCTCTATATTTAGTACCTCTGGAATAGAACATTTTCTCCTCAACGAATCTATTACCTCAACTCGCAAACAAAAAACAATCACCTTAACTGGCAGAGCATTTGTTAGGTGTTTAAACATTTGATTTATGTAAAGGAAGCTGACACCCAGTTTTCTCAGATGCCTTCCATGGGAGTGGACTGAACCGTGTGAGGTGCCTTGCCATCGTGAAATCCTGTCCTGTGGCCTTTGCGGCAGCCGTGGGAAAGCAGGAGAGTTCTTCTGCGAACACTGTGACGGGGTGTGTCTGACCGGAGGTGGCCCTCAGCAAGGGACGTGGGGCGGGGGGGCATGGTTCACAGACGCTGGTGCCACTGCGCAAACTGATGTGCGTTACAGTGTTGTGAGGAATCCAGTTTGTACTTCTTCCACTTCTATAGTATTTACAGAGAATCAAAATAATGGGATGAGTTCTTAAGCAGTGTGGTGAAATCAAATTATTAGAGGAGAGTATTTCTTTTTAATTTTTAATTAAACTCTGTATTTTGCAGTAATTATATATTTCACATGCAGTTGTACTAAATAAAGGATAGATCCCTTGTACCTTTCACCCAGTTTCTCCCAATAGTAACAGCTTGCAATATAGAGGACAGTAGCACAGCCGGGACGTCGACACAGGCGCAGAACATTTCTTCGGTCACCACAAGGACTCCTCGCCCTGGCCAGGTAGCTCAGTTGGTTAGAGCATTGTCCCGATGCTGCAAGGTTGTGGGTTCGATCCCCAGTCAGGGCACATGCAAGAGTGTACCAAAGAATGTGTAAGTTAGTGGTACAACAAATCAATGTGTCCCTCTCTCTCCCCTCACCCCCTAAGAAGAATCAGTACAAAAAATTTTTTTCAACAATGAAGTCCTCATGTCGCCCTTCTACACCCATAGTCACTCGTTGCCCACCCCTCCACCTGACCCTCGCAGCCACTAGTCTGCACTCCAGTTCTATAATTTTGTGTTTTCAAGAATGTTACATAAATGGCATCATATAGTATGTAACCATATGGGGTTGGCTTTTCTCATTCAGTGTAATTGTATAGAGATTCAACTTGCATTTACAGTACTTTGGGTTTTTTTATATTTGGGTAGTATCCCATGGTATGATTGGCCCGTGGTTTGTTTAACTATTTACCAGTTGGGACATGATTGTTTCTAGTTGTTGATTATTACAAATAAAACTGCTATAAACATTCGTGTACAGGTTTTTGTGTGAATATAAGTTTTCATTTTCCTGGGATAAATGCCCAGGAATGCAATTGTGGTTCATATGATAATTACATAGAGTGTTTTTTTTAAGGCTAGAATTGATTTTTGTGTGTGTGGAAGGGAACACAGAGGACATCGACATTTTTGTGGTGTTTTTGCTTTAACTGGATTTGTTTAGGATTTTAAAGCATGCAGACTATTGTAAATAGCTTGTAGCCAACTATCAAAAACCAATTTTCCACAACCTAGATATTTTCTTATTTTTAGGGAACTGTGTCTTCAAAAATTGCTGCTTTTTGGGGGTGAGGAGGTGGCAAACAATTTCTATGTAAAGGAATCAGTGTAAACATATACTATAGAAAAGATGTCGCAAAGCTAACAGGTTCCTTGGAGAAATTTTTGGAGCATTTTCCAAGTGTTAATAAAGACTGGACACTCAAGGATATGTTCTGATCGTTTCCGAATTGAGAGACGAGCTTTTGTTGCCATCATCTTCCCTGCAGTTTTTACTTGTAGAATGAATTTATTATCTTCACAATTTGTGTTCGGTGCTGTTGCGTTTACCGCTCACTTAATTCAACTATATACCCTTAGTAGGAACAGGAAAAAAAAAATTAAGTATTTTTTTCCCTAGAACATGGCCCCTAAAAAAATACAACTACTTCACAGGATGTTTAATGGCAGAAACAGCTCTGTTCCAAATCCTGGTGGAAATCATACTGTTACGTTATACTTACTGAGACATAGTGAAGTATGTACAAAAACCACGTATGCTGTATTTTGGGGGAGACCCACTGAAAGGATACTCAAGGATAATTTTTACTTTCATTTTTCACCATATATATTGACTTTAGAACTCTCACAGAAAATGTAGCTCCATTTTTTATTTAAGAAACATTGCATGTGGCTAACTGGTTAAATGACCCTTCCAATAAAGTCAATGTTATCAATCTTTAACTTGTTTGAATGAGGCACTAAGCTCAGGGGATCCCCATCTTTCAGTGCTTCTAAATATTGTTTCATCTTTAGCCCATTATGGTCGTGACCCTAGTGATATAAATGACATAAGATAATAAAAATCCTTGCCCTTAAAAACGACCTGAGGAGAAGACAGAATATACACATGGAGGCTTTCTCTACCGGTCGTCATTTATCATTAAGCAGCCCTTGAAGCCCGCCAGTATCCACTTCCAGGCACTGGGAACCTAAGAGTAAGGAAGAGCAGTTCCATCGGTCTTAGCACAGCCCTCGTAGCGCTTTGCTTGGGCCGTTGGGCCTGCAAAAGTAAAAAGAAACGATTAGGGACTACGATGACTCTGCCTGGCCAGAAAGCGAGAACCTTCAGAATTCAGGGGAGAGACTCATAGGACAAGGCAGACGTGAACCTCGAAAGAGCACATCGGAGCCGCGGAGGACGACACCTGCTGGGAAGGGGGCGGGGGGCTGGGGATGGCTTGTTGCAGGGGGCCTGGAATCTGGCGTGGCTGGAATTGCCTAGGGCCGCAAAGGGACATGTCACTGCCCCAGGGCGTCCTTAGCAGCTTCCTTGGTTTTAGGAAGTCACCATAAATGAGGCTTGCTGTTCTCGGGAGTAATATTTGGATTTAAATATGTGGGTTTGAGGGAAAGAATAAATGGATGCTCTTCTAGTAGTAGGGCTTGGAGTTAGGTGAAGAGGCACAGGGTGTGTGTGTGTGTGTGTGTGTGTGTGTGTGTGTGTGCGCGCGCGCACAACAGAATACTACTGTCTTATTTTTATGTTTAGTAAGGAATATGATATTTTATACTTTTCTGGTATCCTAAATACATAATCTGTAAGATTATCATATTTTATAAAATTTTAGTTTATTTTAGCCTGAAAATAACAGAAGAACTTAAAGGTCTTTTGCAGAACTTCAAAGTTAAAATTACAAGATCACATATAGATAAAAAGTTACATAAAGCACACATTTGTAAGATTATATATAGATCTGATGGCCGTAACTAAAAAACTATTTTGAGCAGCCTAAGAAAGTACAAATATTGCTGTGCCTTATTTTTTTTTTAAGCTGTTCAAGGTAGTAGGAGAGCTAAGAGCCTTTGTAAATATGCATCTAATTTTAGGTGGCTAAAATAGGAAGCTGTAATATGACTGAGGCCCCTTTAACTTGGGAACTTGGAAAAGGGTCTTACATAGGGTCTCTTATAGTTCCTTTAATTGTATATAAATCATAGAGTGATCAAACTGGTAACAAAGACGGTAAAGTTAAGATACTCAGCATTTTATATGTAGTAATACTGATTCCAGTACCCCCAGCTCTGTGGCCTTGCCAATGTGGAAGCCAACACGAAATGTGTTTTGTGGAAGAGCTACATTAGGTCGGTGACTTAAAAAGTTCTGAGTACATATCATGATCAAGCAGAGTGGAATCATCTTGTAATACTGTTTAGCAGTTAAAAAATAAAAAGAAAGCGGTGCAATTTTAGACAGTTTTTTTTTTAAATGTGTACAAATACTGCAAATCATAGGTTGGTTACAACTAGACTTCCTGACTCGGCCGTGAGCGCTGTACTCTATGTATGTGCTTTCAAAGTACTGGCCTTTATAATTTTGTCCATAATTGTTTAGATATATTTTCTCCATAAAATGTTTTTAGAACAACTCAGTGCTCAATTTCCTTCACCCACGTGTCATCTATAAACTTTATGTGTGAGCATACTAAAGAGTCAGTTGCAAGACACATTAGCAGACTATTTTTTCCAGGAGCCTTATTATTCAAAACACCTTTCAAACCCAATGCATAAAAATAGCAGGCCACTTCCACTTGCAGCCTTTTGAAGCTGGAGAAGACTTGCTTTTCACATGAAGCAGCCAAGTCGCAGGAAGATGAAATGACTTGCTCATAAGCGATAATGAGGATCTTTTGACTCCAAAGCACACACTGCCAACTTGAAGATGCATGTCCCCAGTTCTGGAAATTCAATTTACAGATCCTGGTATCACAACCCTATTCTTAGCAATGTATTTTTTCTACATATGGTAGAAATAGATGTCTACTGTCATCTGTAAATGTCACGTGAACATTTTGGCACCGAACATGGCTATAAGTAGCAAGTTTAAGGGTATTAATCTCAGAACTGGATTTTAACCAATAGAATGTTCCATTTTACTATTTGTGCATACCTACTGTGTTTAACATTGCAATAAATCCAAGGAAGCAAACACGAATATGACATATTCCTTGAATTTAACAAAGTGGGTGTTGGGCTCAGACCTGGAGAGAAAATGGTGAACAGCATGCAGTTGGCCTTTGTGGTGCTTGGCGCTTCGCATCTACTATACAGACCGAGGCATAAACAGACCCATTCATCACAGCGTGGCATGAGGGAAAGGCCAGGCGCTGTGGGACCACAGGGGAGCCACCCCTAACAGAGGTCTGGGCAAGGCCAAGGAAGGCTTCCCAGAGGAGAGGGACATTGGAGTTGAGCCCTGAAGGAAGAGTGTGCTGGACAGGGAGCAAAGACCAAAGACAAGGGCGGGCGCCGTGCGTTGGCGGTCGGCACGCAGACTGAGAGGAGAAGGAGTGTGTGCAGAGGTGGGGGAGAGCAAGCCAGGGGGCGCCAAGCTGCGGAGGGGCCTTTCGAATGCCTGGGAAGCCCACGCTGCATTTTACCTTCGCCCAATCAGGTCCACGTTTTAGGGATGTCCCTTTTGGTGGTGGCATGGGAGGTGCATTGGAGGCCAGCGAGATTGGACGGTGAGAGACGAGGAGGGTGATTTTTGCAAGTCATCGTCCAGGTGAGAGAGAAGAGGCACCTGACCCAAGAGAGAGGCCAGGGAAGAAGGGCTGTCAGTGGATTGATGGGAGATACTAAGGTGCTAGACGTGCAAGGACTTGGTGACAGGTTACGCATGAGGGTGACGGGAAAGCATGTCAACAGGAGTGTCCAGAGGGCCTCAACAATCAGGTCATGGCCGTGGTGTCCGGAGACAGGTCTAGTGGGGAGGAGACACATATAGTGTGGGTGCGCGGCACAGCTGGTTGCGAGGTGCCAGAAGGCTCTCGGGGGGTTTGGACCTCACAGGTTAGTAGCAGGCAGGGAACATAAGATTCTCTTACAGGGGTACATAGTTTATTCTCTTCAAGGGCAAATTTCCCCCCAAAATGTATTTTCTTTCACTAATACTAATTTTTTTCATTGCACGATACAGCTGTAATGGCCCCATGAAAAGCGAGCCTGAGGTGAACTGCTCCGTGTTATTGGGCAGCATTTCTTTGGAAAAAGATGGGGCTCAGATGATGTCAATAAGGGAAGTGAGAGTGGTCCTAACTGTCGTCCCCTAAACATTTCAGTGAGCGAAGTGTGCTAAATTTCAGCTGCGCACAGGAATTTAAGGGTAGAGAGGAGTAAAACATTGCCAAGAGAAAAAGCACTGGAGAATATTTTTGTTTTCAGAAATGTGATGAGTTTGGATTATACCATATGCTTAAGTAATTAGTATGCAATGTTATCTGGACCTTAATACCTCAGCCGTTCATTCCACAAGTACTTAATCAGCGCCTGCTCAATATTGGGTACCGGACAGCATTGGCCATAGAGTGGGAGCCACCTGCCCATGGGCTGGGTCCTTCCCTCACCAAGTTCATGGTCCAGCTGCCGGACTAGAAATCCTGAAGGTAGGTCTCTGTGACATTCCTGTCGGAGTCTGCTTAATACACTTGACATACATTGTGAGGACAACTGTGACTCTCAAATCCCATAGCAGTGAATATTTACACCTCAGAGGCACAACCATGTTCACAGGAGGCAAAAAAGAAAGGACTGACTTTCTCACTGTTGAGGTGGGCGTGGCGGAGTGGCTTCTCAAACCTGCAACCTGAGGCACATACAGAGGGATCTCCTGGCTGTTCCTGAGTGGCTTAGGAATAAACGCTTGTTTGCTTAAAGTGGTAAGGACACAAAAAAAAAAAAAAAAAAAA